AAAAAAAAAAAAAAAAAATCAAAACTTTATTATGAACATTTTCTCCCATTTAGTTCAGTATTCAAACAGCAATGGCTGCCTGTTACTCCATTGTATGTATGCACCATAAGATATATCAGGAATCCCTTACTGTTGGACATTTGGATTTACCACTTTTTCACTGTTACACATTAAGCGATGCTCCCAGATTGAGTTTAAGAGGAATTCAGACCTGCCGGGGGCCTCTGTAAAGAGCCCAGGGACTGACTGCAAGAAGCCTACATGTGCCGTTGAGGAAGAGCTAGGCCAGGTCAGGTCATCCTCTCAAAAACTCTTCACCGTCCATGGAGCAGGTGACAGAGTGCCATCAGAGTTTGGGAGAAGGTGGGCTGAAGAGAACTGTTCCTCACTTTGTCTCCAGGTGCAACCCCTGTAGTCTTAAGTTCTTCACAGAGAAAAGGGTAGCGCAATGAGTGAAAGCACCAGGCCAGGGACTGTGGCTCGTGCCTGTAGTAGTCTCCGCTGCTTGGGAGGTTGAGATGGGAAGATGGTTTAGCCCAGGAGTTTGTATCTGGCCTGGGCAACACAGCTCTATTAAGGAAAGGAAAGAAAGGAAAAGGAAAGAAGGGAAAAGGAAAGAAGGAAGGGAGGGAGAAAGAGAGAGAGGAGAGAGAGAGAAAAGGAGAGAGTGAGAGAAAAAAGGAAGGAAGGGAGGGAGGGAGGGAAAGAAAGAAAAAGAAATGGGGGGAGAGGGAAAGAGGGAGAGAGAGAAAGAAAAGAAAGAGAAAGAAAGAAGGAAGGAAGGAAAAAGGAAAAAAAATCTCTAAGAGAACCATTTTGTTAGAAACTCAGGATAATGATTTTGGTTTGGGGGTTTTTTTGTTTGGCTTTATTTTCTAAATTTTCTTTGAGACGGAGTCTCCCTCTGTCACCCATCCTGGAGTACAGTGGCACAATCTCGGCTCACTGCAACCTCTGCCTCCCAGGTTCAAGCAATTCTCATGTCTCAGCTTCTCCAGTAGCTGGGACTACAGGTGCACACCGCCACCCCTGGCTAATATTTGTTACTTTTAATAGAGATGTGGTTTCACCATATTGGTCGGACTGGTCTCGAACTCCTGACCTCAAGTGATCCACCTGCCTTCGCCTCCCAAAGTGCTGGGATTACAGGCATGAGCTGCCATACCCGGCCTGTTTTTTCTCTTTAACTTGAAAGTTTAGCTTTGTTTTCATTTTCAATCTTTAAAAAACAAATACTTTAGGCTGGGCGCGGTGGCTCACGCCTGTAATCCCAGCACTTTGGGAGGCCGAGGCGGGTGGATCACGAGGTCAAGAGATCGAGACCATCCTGGTCAA